GAAGGGCCCTGCTATATCCAAAATAATGCATTGGGTGGATGCCTTGGCATTCAGAAAAAAAAGGACGCAATGAAAGGCGAAACGCCATGGGGGGAAGCTCTCGTTGATCCATGGATTTCTTATTGGGGAACCGCAACGAAGTTGACTTAGCAAACATCTAAGTAGCTAAAAGAAAGCACATCAATGGAGACTCCATTAGGAGTGGCGAGCGAACATGGATTAGGCTCTAAATACCATCCAGTTCCCGGGAACAACTTGATTCAAATGTTCCGCGAATGCATGCTGGCCTTCGACCCTCTGCCTGCTGTTGGTCAAACCCAGCAAGGCGTTAATTGGAGTGGTGAAATACTACACGGGGGCAGATCACCTACCGTACTGGGGACAGACGACGACATCTCAAAGATCTACAGCCAGGTGATACCAGCAAGATCCAGTCAAATGATTTTTTAAGGGGTGGGAAGCGCTTCGACAAGGGATGGAGAATCTGAGGTATGTCGGCAAAAGCATAATCACGGCAATGTTATGGGAAGCGAGGAATGCTCTCCTTTCCTAAGGAGATCCTTTCCTAAGGACAGCTCTCCGAAATGGTGGATCAGTTGAAAGCTTAGGCTAAGAGTTCACTCGACTCCAGATACGGGCCAACTGGCCAAGGCATGGTGTAATTGCTTCCTACGAACGTGGGCCAGAGGCAACCAGCTGCCTGCCTGCAGCATCTCTGGAAGGGAAATTGATAATTGGTCTTCTTTGTTTTCTTTTGGGATTTGGGTTCATGGTTGTGTAATTGTCAAACTTGTCCCTTTCTTTTTTTCTTTTTTTTGAAAAAAACTGTCTTCTTTCCACCTAAGATGAGGAAAGAATGGCATGCGACCGATATTTGCAATAGGATGTTTCGCTTACGAAGACTTTGTTTTCCTCAGTTTAGGTCAGCTTAGCTATGGGTGTCGCGTGTTTAGGTGGAGGAGTATAGGTTGAGAGGAGTTAGTCTCCTTTCCCAGAGTAAGCGCATACTCACACGGGGACCTATATTCCCAAAATCCCAAAAAAAAGGGGAAAAGGCCGGTCCACACAGATCCACCAAATTTTCAAATGTACTATTCCTGTGCCCATTTGTCAGCGGCCTGCAAGCCGCGGGGCAAGTGACCGCAAATGCCCTATTTCATTTTTCGCATTTTCTTCAAAAAATGGCAAAATTTCGTTCACAAAAGTTCTTGCACAATTTGTGGAAAAATGGCAAAATTTCGTTCACAAAAGTTCTTGCACAATTTGTGGAAGGCGCTGTGTGACCAGCCAAGTACCGAGTCCCCATTTCTCCAGACGACCGCGACCTTGTCCCATCTGAAAAGGTACAGCAGTGTGACGTGAACCATGCCCAAAACCTCAAATCGGCCCTTCCCAAATCCGCATATTTTGCGGAATTGGGGTCGCAGTGTGAGTATGCCCTAAGGTCATCGCATTAGGTGTCCAGAGCGGAGGAGAGGGCGAGGGGAGGGGGAGCAGAGGGGAGAGGAGTGGATGGAGAAGGGAGAAAAGGAGAGAAGAAGGAAGAGGGGAGAGGAAGAGAGGAAACCTCCGTCATCTGTGGCTAGACTGCCCGACATCAAAGAGAACACGAAAAAGAAACCAGAAAAGAGACAGAATATGGAGCTGCTGTTGTTTTCGTTCCCCTAATCTCTTTCTCTCACCAGGGTTACCCCTCCTACCCCCCCTAGCCCCTAACCGTATTGTACCCATCTCGTTTCGAGCTCATGACCTGTTGATGAACAGTTAGTTACGTGCGTGAAACATTCTACTTCTACCTCATGGGGCTGGTGGTGGCGCTTTCATTGCCAAAAGATTGCCCACAACGGTTCAACCGGCTGAATGAATGAATAGAGGGAGGGAGGTCCCCTGAAGCAATGCAGCCTACAGAGGGATTAGGGGTTTGTAAAACACTGCGTGTGTGATACGTCGCCAATCAACGAACGGTTCCAATAGCACTACCGTTTTCCCCCGAACACAACGCACCCTTACTTCGGCTATATCTGACCGGAAAAATATAGCTTTGATACATTCATTATCAGGGTGCGTTATGTTCGAGGGAAGACGGTAGGCCGTCGTTACTATGGAGGTCAATCCGGAAAACATTCCTCATGACGGCAAGGGGCGGCAACGAAATTTCTTGAAAAACCGTGAGACAGAAGCAGGCAACCACGCCGGCGGTGCGGAGGCCGGGGGGAATGTGGTAGTGGTGTGGAGGGGCGGGGGGGG